AACAGAGGAGAAAATCTCACAGAAGAAAGATTATCTGAACATGAGAAAACTTACATATAAGTAAAAATAATGGGAGGGTGAAAAAAGGTAATTGCACCAAAGAGAAAGACTAGGAAAATAGGCACAACAGGTAAAATCCTAATAATTATAACCAAAACCTGTTGGGGGCTTACCAGACACCAGACTCTATTCTAAACACTTCCATGTTCCACTGAATCATTGAGAGATAGGAGATAGAGATCGTTCTTCCCATTTGATAGATGAAGCAACTGAGGCATGAGGGACCGTGAGTATACTGTTCTCTCCCAGACTCTCTTGCGCCCTCTTGGCAACTCTAAAGACTGCCAAGTTATTTAAGGCTTCCCAGGCAGTCTCTGAGAAAGCTCCCAGGCAGGACAGGCGAGTCTTCTTCACAGCTTTCTACCTGAGGACTGGCCTGTGAGAGTTCTGCACACATTCTTGAAGTGACTTTTTAAGTTCTACCGATAAAGGCCTCTTTCCACAGTGGCTGAAGCAGCCTGACTTAGAGTGGGAGGCGCGTACAGCTGGTGTGGGCAGGCGGTCTCCTCAGCTCAGGTAGCGGCCTGGCCCAGGCTTTGTCAGTGAGGCACCTGTGGGCTCCTTTATTCCGCTGTATGCCAGCTGCCTGGAGTACAGGCAACACTTCTGTGGAGAGAGACATTCTGGGGGAGCAGCCTCTGAGGAGGACATAGCTGCAGCTTTAGAGGACAACTCTTAGAGCAGCATCTGAGGCTGACCTGGCTCCTGTTTGCTCCCCTGTTTTCCTTTGTGGGCAGCAAGAAATAATGTGGAATTCAGGGCCCATGTAATTTTTAAAAAAGATTTATTTTATTTATGCATATGAAAACTGGGGTGTAAGCCAGAGGTGCAGGGGGTGAGAGAATTCACCAGAGACAGAATGGGGAACAGAACAGGTGGATCTGTTGAAATACACTGCTGAGGGGAAAAGCAGTGGGCAAGATAGGAGAGGTCTGCTGCTCCATGTGGGTCACCTCTCTGGCCGGGCATCAAACTCATGCACAGTGGCTGGGGATCGTTTGATAGTGCTGAGACTTTATAACCCCTGAGCCACCAGGGAGGCCCAGGGCCTATGTGATTTTAAGGTAGAGAGCCTGAAATAGGACAGAAGGTGTGGAGTGGGCAGCACAGGTGGCCCCAACAACCGACTCTCTGGAGAAAAGGAGAGACTGGAAGTTTGTCATGCTCTCTCTCCCAACTCCTCCATTTCCTTTTTCACTCCCCTCTTCCCCCCAGCCTTTCTGGCCACCATACAGTTGACCCTCGGTGACCAGGAAGTGCTGTTGCCACCTGCAAAACAGGTCACATTATCCATGACCTTTGCCCCTCAGTCTGCTGTCATCTGGAATGATAATGGGACTGAGTATTTAAGCACCAGCCAGGATCTCCAGGGTCATGTGTGGAAGGTTGGCGCTGACATTTAATGTAACACGCCTGTTGGCAAGGGTAGCTGTGGTCCTGGGCTCCGCGGACTAGAATAGCTCGCTTATCAGAATGTCAAGGCAGGAGGAACAAGATAAGCCAAGCTGCCCTGGTAGGGCCCGCACTCATCCCTCAGTAGCCAGGGTTTCAGGAGGGAGAAGCTGTCTTGTTCATTTTTAAATAGCTCCAGAGAACACCGCTCCATGAGCCTCTTAGAAGAACACATTCAAGTGTTCTTTCTCCAAGCGCCTCACTATAATCTTTTGTGTTTGAAAACCCATCCTTCTTATCTTGTCTTTAGAAAAAACAGAGCAGTTCCTCATGACTGACGACGGTCTTTGCAGACATCTGAGGATGGGCTGCTCTCAGGAACAGCGTCTACTCGCCATGGCCTGTCTGGAGCTCATGCACAGTGAACATTTTAATCTAAAAAATGACTCTTGGGCCTCCCTGGTGGGGCAAGGCATTAAGCACAGCACGATGAAGCTATTCGCAGCCTCTGCAACATGAGTTTGATCCCCAGCCAGCCAGGGAGCTACCCACATGGCTCAGCAGACCTCTCCTGTCTCACCTGCTGTTCCCCTCAGCAGTGTATTTCAGTGGGTCTGCCTATTATGCTCCCCACTCTGTCTCTGGTGGATTCTTTCATCCTGCCCCAGCCCGCCGCACCTCTGGCCTGTATCCCAGTTCTTGTATGCATAAATAAATAAATTAAAAATAAATAAAAAAACAAAAATGGCTCCTCAGGCTACCTAATGGGTTCCTGGGCCTCCTCCTTTCTCCCCATCGTCCAGTCTGAATATTTCATCAGTATCACTCAGAAATTGCAAACTAACATTCTCCAATATGGAAGGGATAGCCCTGTCCTAATGTTCCTATTCACAGGTTTCCAAAAGTTATTATTCCCAGCCCACATTAGGAGACCAAACAAAGGGTGGGGGGGGGGCGTGAGAGAAATGATTTAAAAAGAAAAACCTGAAACACACAGAGTCTTCAAGCAGGTGAGAGCACCATCTAAGCCTAATAGCTCTGACCAGAGAAGGGTTGTGGAACCAGGTCACTTTTTGAGCAAATGGGACCTGGCGGAAAGTGCACTGGGGTGGTCTCTTCCCTGCTGTGAGGTGAACTTGGCCGGGAACCAGAGCAGCCTCTGCATTCCTGGTCCAGAAACCCAGGCGGGAGCTTGCTGAAAGCCCCAAGGGACCCTGCTCCAACAGGCAGGAGCTGAGAGGTGTTTGTGACAGTCTCACTGATGTTTCTGCTAGATTCACAGAGGAAAGAATTCCTCTCCCCTGGGCATGAGCCATAGCCCCAGGGGAACCAGCTTGGGGAATCCCACTGAGATCTGAGTTCATCACCCACCAGCCTGCGAAGTGGCGCTGCTGGGACAGCCCTGGGTTCGTGCAAGGTAGATCCTTCTCTGTACTCATGCTTCATCCTCCTGCAGCTGCCCTCACAGCTGCTCTGAGTTCATTCTCTGTCTAACACAGGCATGCTTCTTAAATAAGAATTGCTGCCATGGAGAAGGCCAGCAGCTTCCAGCGGTTGTTAGGAGGACAGGCGAAAGCTATGTCTAAGGTGTCAGGTCCTGTAGGAGAGCCAGATGGTGGGTCTAGAACATGGCCTGGGGAAGGGTGGGAGCATGGACTTTGATGGAACATACAGACAAGTTCTTAGGTGATTTTCTCCTTTAATGGTGGCCCTGGTGCTATTCTAATAATTTATGCTGTTGTCATAATTTATTTTCCATCTCATAAGTAATGGGCAGAACCCGGTTAGTGATAAACGCTTGATAAATGCCAAGAAGAATTCCTCCGAAGGTAAAAGAATGTCTGTCTGCTTCTAGCCTTAGGTTGTAAGTCTCTACTCGGGGAATATAGTTTCAGGTTGTTTGGGTTCAGGATGGTGTAGGGGAGCTGGATGAGGTGGGGAGAGGGAGGTTGGGTAGAATAATGGCAATAGCAGTGGAAGGAGAAGAAAAAACAAGCCCCTCACATACATCAAATGCATAAGAACACATAGCAGGCATTCCATAAATGACAGTTCCTTAATAATTCGGCAACAAGCTCACCTCCACCCCTTAGGGCTTACACTGAGCTGAGGGATGCCACGTCCAGTCATATTAATGTTGCCAAATCCCTGTCAAGCTGACCGAACTCTTCATGTCAGTCTCCAAAAAACGGTCTCTCTTCCCACACCCCTGGCTCTGCCTGGTTCTTCCAGCAGTTTCTAGGAAGTGCCTCATCCAAGCAGATGATGGGATTTACACTTGGGTTTGAGGAAAAGGTGTGAATTTGAGAAGCCCAGAGCACCGCTCAGGGCTAGTGTTTGATCGAGGAGAGACTCTGGATTGGAAGTCAGAGGACAGGGCTGCTATCATAATTCTGCTACGTGCAAGGGCCCAGGACTCTCTCAGCATTGATCTCATCTCTGAGGCCCCTGCTTCACAAGACTGGTGTCCAGATGAACTCACACGAATAGCTAGCTCACTACTTGGCTCCATAAATATTAACTTCTTTTCATTGCCTCTCTCCCACATGGAAAAGTGTTTTGTGAACCAGAAAGTCTTATGACACATAGCTTAGTGATGAAAAAAAGGCAGGTTAGAGTCAGACCCGGCTGGGAATCTCACTTGTCAACTGGGTACCTCTGGCAAGTTTCAGAGCCTTCTGAATTGCAATTTTCTCACCTGCAGACTGAGGATGGACTGGAAGAGAGCAGAGCTCTTAGATTAGTCTGACTCAAAGCATGAACAAGTCTTCTATTTGAAAGTGTGCTCAGAACAGGTGCCGGCTATCTTTGCACGACCTGATGTTTGAGGACCAGACCTGGTTTGGAAACTTTGGGGGGCCTGAGCAGGCACTGACACTGCTGACACTGTCTGCTCCCAGTTCTATTGAGGGAAGGCTCAGACAGCTCCCGGGGTAGACACATAGATTTGGGGAGAATGGGAATAGTGACCTTGCGTTTCTTCATTTCCCACCTTTGCCCTTGGAGCCTGATCCCTGGTCTTTCTGGAACCATTTGAGAGATATTTAAAAAGAGATAGAAGGACCAGACAGCTAGGAGGGCAAAAATAGCAAGGACTTGGCCAGACTTAAAAGAGAAAGCAAGATTAAATTGAGGCTCAGGTTGACAGAATTGGTGCCCAACCCTGGCCCCCTACACCCCCATTAAGACAGACCTACAACCCAGGATCCAGGGCAATAACTCTCCTCCCACTGCCCTGGCCTCCTGCAGCACCAAGGGGGGCTCCCACCATGCTTCAGTGCCCCCAGGTATCAGAACGCAGACATTCACAACTCACTGAAGACTGAACCCCCAACACCCAGGGTAACTTGCCACTACGACATCTCTGATTTCCTGGCTGAACTTTGTACTGCCCTAAACCCTCCTCTGTCCCCATCCACTCGCACCCTGGCAGGTGCCTGGCATGAAAAGCAAGCTACCTTGGGCAATGCGCACCTGAGGGTGCCTGTCCCGCCTTCCAGCAGCTGGGAGCTGGGGGAGAAATGCAGGAGGAAAGGAAGGTAACTTACTTGTTGAGATCGGAGCTTCCAAGTCCCACTGATGCTAACTTCTGGGGTGTCTCTTTGAGGTGGTGTGGGGGCATTCAGGGCCCTTCAGGGGACTCCCCTGCCCCGGGCATTGCCACAGCCTCAGATTGCCTAGAATTCCTCCCTGTCGAGTCAGCCGAAGCCTCCTGTCCCTTCCCAGCCGGCCCCTTCCGTCACTCTCTCCGTCTAGCAGGAGCTGCGGGAGGCTGGACTCACTCGCGTCTCTCTCCCTCCCTCTCTCTCTCTCTCTCTCTCTCTCTCTCTCTCTCTCCCCTCCCTCCCCCTCCCTCCTCTCTCTGGCGTCTCCTCCCCCTCAGCCCCCAGTACAAAGGGATGTCTGTGTAATATTGAGAAATAAGGATTTAAAGGACCACTGGGGAAGGTGGTAGGAGTTTGGGGACGGTAGGGGGTTCCCTGCGCTTGGGGACCAGTCCTCTGAAGAAGCGAAGGGGAAGGTGGAGGAAGGACCCGAGGCAGGGTTCATTCAGGCTGCTCTCTGCTCCTAGACCCACTTCCCTCTCTCCCTCCCCTAGCCCTCGCCACCGCCAGGGCCACCTCCCAGGTGCACCCCCGCGAGGGCTCCTCCACTGCTCTGGTCGGGATGCAAAGGACCGGGATTGGGGCGCGCGCCTGTGCATTTGTGAGCGCGCGCGCATGCACGTGTGCGGTCGCGCGGGTTTGGTGGGCGCGGTGGAGCAGAGCGAAAGAAGGAGGAAAGTAGCTGGGCAGACCTCTGGGATGGAGCCTGAGGGTGGGAGGGGTGTGGCTGCCCTGGAGCTCCTCGGTGCCCTGAGTGGGTGCTTGGTAAAATTTTGTTACCTGTCTTTAGATGGCATGGAGCAGGTAGGAGGCATTTCTTGGGGAAGCTGGGGGACCCACAATCTAGGCGCTGCATGGGCAGCAGGACGGCTCTTGCACTGGCAGGGAGGGTAGTGAGTTTGGCGCTCCCGATCCTGCTCTCTGGGGATGGGGCCGGGCTGCGGAGACTGGAGGCGGGGCTGAGGCAGGAGGCTTTCGGCTCAACACCCACCCACCCTCGACGTCCTCGCCGCAGCCGGGGCAGGTGATTGGGCAGGAATTGCAGTAATGACCCCTTCCCTCCAAGAGGTCTTGGTCTTGGAGGGGCAGAGCTCGCGGATGCTGCATGCACACCTCGGCTGGGGAGCATGACCCAGGGAAATCACCTCGCTGCCCTCCCTGTTTTGATTTCCCCCTGCCTGGAGGAAAAATGCTTGCAAGGTTGATTCTTAACTCCTGCGAGTGGTTAGGAAGGCAGCTGCGGAAGTCACACCCTTTGTCTGGGGAGGCTGGGCAGGAGGGCTGCTTGGGGAGGGCAGGCAGTCTTTTCCCAGGAATGATCCCTTGGGTCCTGTGCCTCTGTCTGAGCCCAGCCTTTTGGGTTAAGCACTCCTGTCTTTGGCCCTGAGAAGATCTCCCCTCTCAGGGGCAGGTACAATGAATCAAGTGTGGAGCCATTGTCCACGAGATAATGAGCTCCTCTGAGGCAGGGGCTGTGACTCTCTTACTCTCTGCTGTGCCCCAGCACCTAGCACAGGTGATGAATGGATATTTATTAAGTGGACACAGTCAACCAGGCAACTGGTTTATTCAACTGCCAGGAGACAAATGCTGGTCACTGGGGGTGAGTGAGGTGGGTGGAAGGGGCACCAAACCTATGTTCTCCAGTAAGGGCTCACTAACCGGGAAATCTCTGGGTCCCTTTAGGGGATTAGCCAGTCCTCCTGCACATCATGGAAGCTTAGTACAGGAGGGGAAGCTGTGGCTCCTTTTATTCAGAGACCAGCATGCATAGGGCACAGGCCGAGACACCCTCCCCAGAAACAGTGCCCCTACCACCACCCCACCAACCAGGCCTTGCCTCCTGGACCCCCTCCTCTCTCTGTGGTGGTGGGGTGATAATTCAATGTGGCTGCAATCTGTACTCACTAACCAGGAAATCTCTCATTCCCCTTAGGGATCAGCCTGTCTTCCTGCACAGCCATTACTGTTGATCTTTGCGGTTTAACACTCTGAGAAGAAAAATCTTAATTCCTTTGTTTCCTAGTTCTGGTGAAGGCCTGGGCTGTGGAGCTGTGTGTTTCAGATGACACTCTCTGCGCATTTCCTCCGCCTATGAAACGCTCTGTCCCCTGGTCGCAGTGACCCTTGCATTCAGTATAATGGATGGAGAATTTCTCCTGCCTCCATGAGGAGAGACTGGCTCCTAGCAAAATATTGGGGGACCTGGAAATATTGTTCCATAAATATTCTCTCAGTGACATGACCTTGGACCAGAAGACAAAACAGGTTAACTCTCAGCCTAGGATTGGGAAATGAGAAATATGGGGGTTCTAGGTCTGATTGCCTTTTACAAACCAAGCAGCCTTAATTTTTCCACGTTGGAAGCTCCCAGCACACAGGTGACATTTGGGGAGTGCAGACACAATAGAAGAACCACTTAGGGGCCTTGGAAGGTACTAAGTGCGTCTTTTGGTACCTGAAAATTGATGAGGCATTGAAAGTTGCCCAGAATTTCTGTGTTAACAGGTTAATTAGATTGCAGACCCACTGCCTCTGTCCTCCTTTATCTGCTTCTCTTACCTTCCTTCTTTGAACAAGTGGTAAAATCGCAATATACATGGAACTATTTCTTCTCCTATTTATAAAAATTCCATTTGCATTTATGAGGCTGGTCATGCTTATAAATATTTCCTGACAGATAAAATATTCATTAAAAGATTTGCTTATACTCTGAAGTCTTAACTAAAATTCTTCCGTTGAAGACAAATGTTTTAAATATTTCCTCTCACACATTAGTTGTGTATGTTAACAAGTCCTTCTATAAACAGCAGATAGATACCATTTAATGAATATTAATTTGCAAGATTAAAGATAACCAAAAGGTATGACAATAATATGTCAAGTAATTAATTGTTGTGATTGATTATTAATATCACCCAGTTTACGAAACAAAACATGGCATTGGTAACACAGCTGAATCCATCTGGATCACCTATAGCCTCTTCTCTCAAGAATCAGTAGCCTTGGGCCTCCCTGTTGGCGCAGCGGTTGAGCGCTGCGTTGCGAAGCTGCCCGCAGCCTCTGCAGCGTGGGGTTCGATGCCCGGCTGCTCCCCGGCCACCGGAGGAGGGTCCCACATGGCGCGCAGACCTCTCCTGCCGCCCGCTGCTCCCCTCGGCAGTGTACTTCGGTCCTTCTGCCTGCTCTGCTCCCGCTCTGGCTCTGGTGAATTCTCTCACCCTCCCATGCTTCTGACTGTACCCAGTGCTTGTATAAATAAATAAATTAATTTTAAAAAAAAGAATCAGTAGCCTTAATTGGGCCTTTCTTGTGGTTTCTTCTGTTTCTTTATGCCAAAACACACATTCATTCATCACATACACATTCATTAGTGGATATCAACCATCTATAAGTACTTTTATATTCATAAGCTCTTTTGACTGACTTATTAAAGCCTTCTTGGAGAGATACTTTGATAGATGCTGTGTGGGAAATGAAAATATATAAGGGCGGGCTTTGATCTAAAATGCCTTACAGTCCAATTGAGAGGGTCATTTTATGTACAAGAAAAGTTAGCCAGCAAATTAGCAACTTGGGATTTTAATATGTAGGTGCTAATTGGTTGGGATGGGGTGTGGAGCTGAGGGTAAGGCTTGGGGAGTAGGAGCAGAGGGCTGACTTCCCACTCTAGAGAGTTGGGAGGATTTGAGTATGAAGAGAGGCAGGGATGTGACAACAAGAGGGGGTGGTCCAGGCCCAGGGCATTCAAGAATCTGACTTTCTGACTTAAGGGAGAAAGTGTTTCTGGGAATAAGGGTAGGTAAGAAGCCAGGGTGACAAGAGGCTTTAATGAACCGGGTGCCCACCACACTCTGAGCACTGCTGGGGCCTCACAGAAGTAAGTGTGTTTAATCTTCTTAACCTCAAGAGGGAGGTAATATTAGAGCTTTTTCTCAGATGAGGAAACTGAGCTCGGATAAGTAGAGAACCCTCTCTTGGGCACAGTGACTAAGCGAACTTCAGAACTGCTTTGGGTAGACTCCAGTCAGATTTGTAACTGTCATAGGTCACAACATGAAGGAAATGAAATTGAACACACGCACAATGCATGAAAGGCTGTGACACAATAGTCAGGGTTAGGTGGCTTGCAAAGAAGAGATTCAAAGTTTGATTTTCAACATGGTGGTGGTAAGAAAAGGCTGGACCACTTGCTTAAATGGAATTGTCTGAGGAAGGGATAGATGTCTGGCCTTAAGGTGGAACCTGAAGACAGAGGTGTAGCTTCTGGAATGTCCCTACAGAGAGAGAAGATTGGGACTTTGAGGTTGGCTTTGATTTTAAAAGAGTGGGCAGAAAGACGGAACTGAGTTTTAAAAAATCCAATTGGGGCCTCCCCGGTGGCGCAGGGGTTGAGTGCTGGGTTGTGAAGCTGCCCGCAGCCTCTGCTGCAGCCTCTGCAGCACCAATTCGATCCCTGGCTGCTGGGTGAGGGTCCCACAGGGCGCACAGACCTCTCCAGCCGCCCACTGCTCCCCTCAACAGTGTGCTTCATCAGTCTGCCTTTTCTGCTCTCGGTTCTGGCTCTGGTGAATTCTCTCACCCTCCCGCACTTCTGACTGTACTCAGTGCTTGTATAAATAAATAAATAAATCTTTAAAAAACAATCCAATTGCTCAAACTGTCAAGATGTCATTAATAACTTTGCAGGATATGTGAAATAAGCCTGATCTCCATGCCTGGGCCTCTGCTTCTTCCAGTAGATACGCACCCCATCTGGAACTTGGAATTCCAAATCCACCTTTCATTGAATTTCATTGAATTCTGATATTAGCACTCACTGTAGCTTTGGCTCTACTGAAGCAAAAGCTTACCATTCCTGAAATTCCTCTTATTCAGGAATCCATGCCAAAGTGCCAGAGAGAGATGTTTACCACAGTTGTCTGCACAGTCAATTTTATTAAATTTTATTCAATCAACATCTGTGCTGCAGAGGATGGACACGCACAAGCTAGGAGGCTCTGGATTTGGTCACCAGCATGGACTTTTCAGTTAGTACACCACTAGGGGGGAAATGATTTTTTTCTTCCCATTTGGTGAAGAGGCATAAGATGAAAGAAAATAAACAACTTTAATTCCTTCTGAACTTATTCATAAAATCTCGCTTTACT